GTTCTCAAATTATGAAAAACCGCGAAACGAAATTATCGCGAAACCCGATATTATACATATTGAAGAATCGTAAAGGAAAGGGGGAGAAAAAGTGCAGAAGTCTCTTCTTCTTGTTATAAACCTAAACTATCTCAACCTAAACACTCTTCCACAACTAATCCTAGTAGGGGTTGGACCAAATATACATAAGGAAAGTGCAAAAAAATAACTGGAGGTTTCGTTTTGCGAAGAAGCGTATGTAAAATAATATACGAAAGAAATATGAGAAGATAAAGTGAAGGGATACTGTAGCAACGTCATTAGATACATTTTTTAACTAAGTGTATAGTGAATGAACACGTCTTCTTCTTTTTCCGACGTCGTGTCTTCAATGAGACTCATCTAATGAATCGGCACCAAATCTTTAAAAGTTGTCTGCGTCTCTTCGTCTCACACACTCTTTGATCCTCGCCGTTTCAAAAATTATTGCTCACTGGGGGATCAAAGAAGACGTGAAGGGGAGAGAGAGAGCAAATACTCAAAACCCACAATAACAACAATAGACTAAACGAGGAATTTGGTTTGTTTTTTTTTTTAGTAAACTACTAAAACACTAACATTCTAAAAAAAGATAACTCAAAAATTGACGGATTGGTTGTGTGAGGTTCCTGACAAAAGTTTTCAACACTTCTTTCTTCTTTTTTTTGGTTTTTTTGCGTGTGGTATTGAATTTGTAAACATTGGTTTTTGGGAGGGAGTTGATGATGATGATGATGCTCGGAGGGGCAGCCGGAAATGAAACAAAGAAGAGGGAGGCGCGAAACGATTGAGTTACCACCCCAAACATTTGAAAAAATGAAACCGAAATTTTGTTTTCTTTTTTTGCTTTGAGGTGGGTCAACTGGAAAAACAGGGAAAATTTAGCACTGATTTAGTGAGGAGATAAGAAAAATGTTGGTGCGAAAAAAGTTTGGACCCACGCTACTCCTCCCACCCTCTCATCCTATATGTGCTATTTAAGCTCAATTATCTCGGTGCCTTCAAAAGGCATCAAAGAGTGGTCAACCAACAAAATGTTGATGATATTATGATAAATAGTTTATCAGTTGACCACTTTGTGATATCTTTCACAGAAAATGAGATATATGGTCTCAAAGTTGGGGGTGTCCTATTAGAGTGACGGTAATCGCAAAACGGAGGATTGAGAAACCGAACTTTTATTTTCACTGAACCCCCATTTTTATGAGTTAGAAACCGAAGAAACCATTTTTTACTTCAAGCTCAATTATCTCGCTTCTTGTACAAGATATCAAAAATTTGTTCACTGTCAAAATATTTACCATAATATCACTAACATTTTATCAGTTGACAACTTTTTGATGGCTTTTACAGGAATTGAGATATATAAGCTCAAATTAGGTGACCCTCCTATTGATGGGTTTATGGCAGAAGCTCACCCAAACAGTCATTTTTGAGCTCAATTATCTTGCTTCCTGTAAAAGACATTAAGATTTTGTCAACGGATAAAATGTATATCATAATATTACTAACATTTTATCAGTTGACAGTTTTTTGATATCTTTCATAGGAACCGAGGAAATTAGGCTCAAAGTGCACGTATAGGAAACGAGAATTTCCAACATCATTTGTTTTAATGGCATGTTGTCCTAATTAATCGAAATTAGTTATCCAATTTATATGGCTAACGGACAAGTGTGAACCTACAGAAACTTCCACGAATTCCTAATTGTTAGTTTAGAGAACAAGAACAAATTTTAATTCAGCGAACCTCTGAAAATTTCATTTCCTTGGTTTGCTAGAAAAATCTAGAAACAAAGGAACTTTTCCAAACAATCTTTAACTGTCTAACAGTAGAAAAAAAGAATAAAGAACACAGGTAAACAATAGAGAACTGAACAAAAAAAAACAACAAAAGAAGAGGAAGAAGAAGCTGTAATCAGATACACCATCACTAATTCCAATACTACCAACCAAAAAAAAGGTGCTGAAGGGCAATAAATCTTGAGAAAAAAAGCGGGAAACGATGTCTTCTTCTTTTTTTAACAAAGCAAGAGAAGAAGGGCGTGGTGGTGATATCGTAACCTTGTAAACAACAAAAACGCCTATCTTCTGAATTCTGAATACCACGGTGAAAAATGCGAGATGATTAGAGAAGAAAGTTTTTTGTCTCTGTATTCTTTTTTTTTGTTGTTAAAATGGGAGAGAGAGTGAGAAGAAGAAGGACATGAGATGGTTTTGTGGTTTTGAGAAGAGTGGCAGATGATGATGTGAGGAGAGAGAAGAGGAGAGGAGAACATCGTCTGATTGATGGCATATTGTTCCGAATTGAACTGTGAAATGGGCAGAAGGTTGGCAGTTTTGGGGGCAAGAGGAGAAGAAGAAGTACAAAAGAAGAAGGGGGAGTTTGGGAAAAACCAAATATTTGTTGAAGCGTGTTCATTTTTCTGCTGACTGTCAGTTACAAAAGAAAATTTGTTGGCAAGTGCAAATCGGGAAGCGGTTGGGGTCTCAAAAACCGAAACCAAATATTATAGAAATTTTTTCCGGGAGGAACGGATCGTGGAACAAGTTTGGAATGTATTTTTTCGTACTTTTGATGGAAGATGTATTTTAAAAAGTGCCGGGTATGCTTGAGAAGATTCATTTAAACCAGTGTATATACAAAGAATATTCTTCGAAAAACTCCTCGAAAATTTTTCGTGCAATTTTCGGAACGCATACATTTTAAAGTGATGGCCTAACTTTTGCAATAATAGCCTAGAAAAGACCCAACATGCCCCTGGTGTGTTTTCCAAGTTTATTTGAAGTGGTGGCCTAACTTTTGCAACTTGAGTTTTCTAGGCCACCAAGTTAAAATGACATAGAATCGGTCTGATATTCACGTAGTGTTATTTCTAGGTCTTTTTGAAATGGTGGCCTAATTTTTTCAAGTTGAGTTTTTCTAGGCCACCATGGTTAAGTGACCTAACAACACACCAGGGGCATGTTGGACCATTTCTAGGTTATCTTACCATGGTGGCCTAGAAAAATCGACCTGAAAAAGTTAGGCCACCACCTCAAATTGAAGTTGAAAATGAACAAAACATGAGAAAAATGTCAGCAACGGCACGGCAGAAAATTTTTTAAATTTCCAGTAGACAATTTCCAACAGATACGGTAAGACAAGTATGACTGTAGCATTATAAATTTCGAATATAGAGTGACCTAGTTACAGTAAAACCTGTAATAGAAGAGCCCCCACATTGTAAAGTTTGAGCTCAATTATCTTGATTCTTCTTGAAGATATTTAAAAATGGTTAACTGACAAAAGTCTTCTGGAATTATGAGTAACAATTTATCAGTTGGCAACATTTTCCTATTTTTGACAGGAACCGAGATAGATTGGCCCGAAGTTAAAAGTAGGGGGGGCCCTTATATTACAGGTTTCCCGGTAACTGCCATTCCCGATGAGATAACCCACACCTCTTCCAATTTTCTTCAATAATACCGATAAACAAAAACCAGCAAATGAAATATGCATGAGAAAAAATAAGTGAGAAGCGGAGAAAATAAATCAAAAATAGTCTCACACACACACATACAAAGTCCACAAGTGAAACTTAATCTTTTCGCAAAGCGAGAAACTGCTTGGTGGAGAGTAGAGTATGGCAATAAAGTAGTCGTTTTTCTTCTCCTTCCCAACGGAATGCATAAATCATAACCTTTCGGTTATCTGGAGAAAGACATAAAAATAGAGAGTAAGTAAAAGAACACAGTTGTTGTTGGAACAAATTGAGCGAAAAAGAGAGAAAAGGGAAAGAAATTTAGGTAGTTTCGAACACTTCTCCTTGCATTTTAAAGTTGACAAAAGACAATGAATATAAATAGATGTGAAGTTCCAAGAAACAAAAAGAAAAAGGGGTTCAAGAATCGAACAAGGAATTGGGGATTTCCTCAGGTTCCATAGAAAGGAGAATAGAAATGAACTGAGGAATAAAACATGGAACAGGTTTGGTAAAAAACCACAATCTAAAGATTAAAACATCAAGATCTTTAAATTTGTCGAACCAAAGTTAAACTTCAGGATTTCAGAATTTTTGAATTTCTACATTTCTGAATTACTCTCCAGTAAAATGAACATGTTTTTGAGCTCTCAGCGATAGCAGGTTTGAAAAAAAGACATTTATTGAACTCGCAAAATTTAATGAAAACTAAAAATTGACTGTGCAGCTGCTTCTACTCTTTCCCATAAAATTGGTTCCAAATTTTCTTCGACTTCAATCTGACGATAATTGTCATGAGAAGTTGGATCATTGAAACAGACGGATTTCAGAAAACCAAAATCCAGAACCAGAAGGATTTGATTTTGGTAGAACGAATCCAAGTTCAGAATCCATCATCTAAATTTGAGTCAATGTATCTCGGTTCCTGTAGAAGATATCAAAAAGTAGTAAACTGGCGAAATGTTTTTGATATTATAATAAGCATTTTGTCAGTTCATCACTTTTTGATATCTTCCACCAGAACCGAGATAAATTGACTTAAAGTTTAGGTTTGGGAGAGCCCTTACGGTATCTTCTAACCGTTAACTTTGACCAACTCTTTCTCGGTTCCTGTGGAAGATATCAAAAAATTTTGAACAGCAGAAATGTTTGCCTTAATTTTATAAACATTCCATCAGTTGACAATGTTTTAATATATTTAACAGGAAACAAGATAATTAGGTTCAAAGAGACGATCTTTTCAAGGAATTTCACAGATTTCAATGTAAAAATTCAAGTTTATTTAAACGTGATGAAAAAAAAATTGCAAAAGAAACCCCGTGGCAAAAAATACTTTGAAAGACAATTAAAACTCTAGAAAAAAACCACTACGTGAATTGGTTTAAAAACCATTTACCTCTGGGAAAGTAATATAAAAGAAGAGGGAAATGAAGAATCAGTTCTCACCTTCTCTGGGCTCCAGAGAAGGTGACCCCGGGATCCTGGGCTCTAGGACCCTGGGCTCTAGGACCCTGGGCCCTAGTTCCTGGGTCCTGGGTCCGGGTGACCTGGGTCCGGGTGACCTGGATCCGGGTGACCTGGATCCGGGTGACCTGGATCCGGATGACCTAGGTCCGGGTGACCTGGATCCGGGTGACCTGGATCCGGGTGACCTGGATCCGGGTGACCTGGATCCGGGTGACCTGGATCCGGGTGACCTAGGTTCGGGTGACCTGGGTTCGGGTGACCTGGATCCGGGTGACCTGGATCCGGGTGACCTGGATCCGGGTGACCTAGGTCCGGGTGACCTGGATCCGGGTGACCTGGATCCGGGTGACCTGGATCCGGGTGACCTGGATCCGGGTGACTGTATCTCATTCTAATCGGTGTGATTCTTCGGTGGAGAGGCGGAGCTCCTGCGGGGACACATCAAACACCCGGGCCCCCACAGTCAAAAAATTATTTTTGTGGAAAATGTGAAAAAATCAATTGAAACTACTTATATTTCCTCAAGTTTTGAGATTCGAACGTTTTAAGTGTAGCCAGGAGATTGTAGCCGCCGACAGGCGGCGGAAATCGACTGGTTATTTAACATTTCAGGTATCTTCGATCCACTCCAACGAAGTGCCGTGTCAGAGAAAATCAGAAATAAAACGAATCACAGACGGAAAAAGGGGGTTTCTTTATGTTGATGGTACCTATTTTAATTTTGTAGTTCACAATAATTGACTTGACGACATTTTTTATCCTCAAATTCAAGATTTTCAAATAAAATATTATTTGATTCTCAATTTTCTGATTTGTAGGAAAGTTTAGTCTGTCTCTTCATATTTGTCTTTTTTGTTTCTTCTTCTTTCTTCTTCCCAATATTCTATTCTGTATGCTTCAAAATATTTTTGGACAATAAAAAACATGATGTATTTGTTTTCTGAATTCTCGAAATTCTAATTGTGAGTCGTCCTATATCTCTTTATGGCGCTGGAGAAACGGCTTGATAGAAGATGTGATTGAAATCTTGGCACTCTTCTGGAATCGGGAGCCCGTCAAAAAAATGACAAGCTCGTAATTTTTTTTTGCTTATGACGATGTATTCAACCATCAATTCGATATTCCACTACTCCGAAACTAACAAGCTTCACCTATCGATGAAATGTGAAAAAAGTCTACCGAATGTCACAAATGTGCAAGAAACAAAGATTGAGCCTGGAAATGTTGACCCACAATTTTTGGCAAACGTTTTGACGATGTATCCTGATTCTCATACTCTATCTGTAAGGAGAATTGTTGGAGATATACCGACCGAGTCTTTATTTTTTCCAATTCAAAATATTCAAGTAATGTATAAGTCCGGACCAGATTACATTCATGTAAGTTTGTTTGGATTCATTTCTCATTGTTGGAATTTCTTTTTTCAGAACTTTGTCGGTCGAAACATGCTGTTGAGTTGCGTTTTCTTAACTAACCAAGATCTCATAAAGTTTCTTAAACAATGGATTTCTAAAGAAGCTTATCACAATCTGGAGACTCTCTCCATGCACATAGTAACTGAAATAAATGCCGTTCTGATACGTCAGTCAGTCGAATCTGAAGAATACGATCCGAACGAACCAGAGAAGAGACCAAAGGATTACGTTGTTGATATACCGGAAGTTTTCTAATAATGGATAGTCTTTTCCTATTATTTATTTAATATTTCATGTATGTTGGCTCGCTCTCCAAGAAGTATTATCTCAACGAAGGTTTTGTCGAAATAAAACGAATCACAGACAGAAAAAGAGCGTTCCTTGCTGTTGGTAATTATTATGTTGATTTTCTAGTACTCTTGCTAAATCAATAACTTCATCTATCCTATTTCTCTTTCTTCCAACCAAATATCTTCCCAATTTTCTCTCAAATCTCCCCGCTGGGTTCTTTTCTATTTTTTCTGTTTACAAAATAACGTTCATGCCTTTCATTCAAAGAATATTTATCTAAACAACAAATATAACAACATTATCAAAAGAAAAAAAAGCAACAAAAAAAAAACTCCAGGATCACTCCTTATTGATCCGTTGATTTCGCTTCTCTCTCAACGCGCGATCCCACGTGGCAAACGGTTCCATCGTCAGAACGCCGGTGGTGCTTGTGAAGAACTGTTGTAGATCGATGGCTGAAAGAGACAAATGATTTTTTTTCGAAAATTAAACTCTTTTGAAGTCTCTACCATGCGTCTGCTCGTACTTATCGGCCTGCACAATCATGTCGAACTTGTCGAGATGCTTGACGACGCGCGCCGTCAACGACGCCGCCTCCTCGTACTCCTTCCACAGCATCGTCCACTCATCGCCAACATTCGGAACGTAGGAGGCAATTGTGTCGATTGCCTGAAAATTGAAGTTTTTTTTTTGAATTTTCGCCTTTTTTATTCCGCAAACGATGCTCCGAAATAACGGACGCGCGGGGTTTAGCGGAAATTTTCAGCGATTTTTTTTATTTTCCAGGGAGATTTTTAGGTTTTCTACTGGAATTTTGTGTTTTTCATGAGCCCCTAACCTTTTTCTCGAGATCAAACTTGTCTTGATCTGAAACTCCACAATGTGGAGTGATATCACCGGCGATAGCCTCTCCGATATCGTGTACAAGTGCCATTTTCACAGTTCTCATCGCGTCCAGATTATCGATTTCCCCTTCCAACGCCATCGCGAGCACCGCCATTCGATACATGTGGCACGCGACGGTTTCTGGCTCCGTTACTCCACACTTCACCCATCCGGTTCGCTTGAGATGCTTCAGGTTGTCGAGAACGTCGAGGAGCTCGAAGATTTTCAATTTCGACGACATTCTATCGGAGGAAACTTTGTAATATGTCGAAGAAGCTTCTGGAGATATCGATTGGCAACCTACACTAATTGAGAACTTTGAATGTAAAAGATTCACAGTGAGAACGCCTTCATAATTTAGAAAAGAATGTGTGTCTTAACCTCAATTAAAGACTCAATACATACACGAAAAAACCGAAATGAAATGAGAGCGGAAACTTATTGGAAAGCGGGAAGAGAGGGCAAAAGAGACTATATATGGAGAGGGATAAACTAGAAAAAAGAAAGTGATAGCTTAGATCAATCAATAATAGGGGAAAGAAAAAAGATTAGCACAAGAAATACAATAGTTATATAACAGGAGATAGTCCTCCAATGAGCATGATTTTCAAGGGACTTTAAGGGGCAATGAGGGGTGTGAGCATCTTCGTTTACTAGAGGAGACGTACATTTATAATCGGGAGAAGGATAGGGAGGAATTTATGGGAGATAAGAATAAGGCAAGCGATTTGATTTGGGTTAAGCCCGAATTGGAAGAGAGAGAGCAGGGTACAAAAAAAAGGAGAAAAAGAAATGTGATTAAAAGGAAACTTTTACACGAAGAAGGGCGTCAGACACAAATTCTTCATCGGGTAAAAAAAGAAAAGAGAAAGAGCTGATAAGTAATAGGAAAAGAGCCGTTCAGTTATGACATCTTGAACAATTTGAATCACTCCGTTTTCGTCTTTCCTCGTTTGTTGTTCGGAGCATTCGCTTGCGGTGTCACCGAAGCAGAAGCAACAGCAGCACTTCTAGCAGCCGTTTCGGCTTCCATCACGGCTACAGCCGTTTCCATCTCTTCCCTTTTGATTTTGTTCAGCGCGACTCCACGGTGAACATCCGCAACCATTGAATTGTATCGCTCTTCTTTCTCTCTCCCCGCCCTCTCCTTACGATTCACCTCTGCTGCCTGTTCAGCCATCTTCGCCGCTTTCCTCTTGGCCACTTCTGCGGCGATCGCCTCCGATCGTTCGTCCTGGTGATTCGGATTAACGGGATATTTGAACAATGGTTCGACTTGCTCTCGAATCTTCAATTGAATCGCTTGCACCATGAAGAACGAATCCTTGAATCGATGACTAGCCGTCTCGGAAACGTTGATGTTGAGAGTGATTTGCCTGTTTGGACTGTCCGGTAGTGTATCTAAAAACGGAATAAAATTAAGGTTTTCCGAACACTAATAGTTAAACTTACGAGTCACACTGTTTGGAAGAATGTATCCATAAATCAATCCGTTGTGCTCCCACGAGAAGAATGGCTCCAGAACATCGACTCGTTCCATGCAGCTATCCGCGTAACTGATACTGAAAAAAGATACTTTTTTCCGGATAACTCAAAGCAAGCTAGCTTACGAAATAGGCGTGGTGAGCACTCGCACCGGTCGACAATTCTTGATATCACTCGTATAATCGTTGCGCTCTTCACTACTCGCCATCCGTTGTTTCTCCTTATCAGCGATAATCGCAGCGATTCTATGAGTGTCGGTGAGCATAGACGTACGGACTATATGAGGTGTGTGTGGTCCCATAGTCGTGTCGAATCGAGTGTATTGGCATGGAATCAGGAAGAGAACCTGGAAATTGAATTTTTCAAATTTTAAATGTCGATTAAAAACTCACCACTGGCCCCTTTCCCTCGGCTCTTTCGATCGACATTCGCAGAGTTTTCTCAAATCGATTCTTTTACGTTATAGAAATCTGCTCGACAGTCACTTACTTTCAACACTCCTCGATCCATCGCCGTTACCAACGGATCCATAACATCGCCTCCGATGCGAACTTGGTGAAGGGCAGATTTACAGGAATCGACTCCGAGATTCAGACGAGGATCGGCTTCAATCAGTAGAGCCTCGACCCACGAGACCATTGTCAAATTCAGCGATTTGACGCGCGCGTTGATGAACTCACGAGCCTTGTAAGGAATCGCCATCGCACAGTGATCCTCGTAGTCCGACCAATCCTTGTTCTGAAAGAAACAAAAAGGAATTTTTGAGAATTAAACATGTTGAAAACTCACAAGGCTCTGTCGAGTGGATCTCGGGAAGATATGATTCAAGTTGAGCGCTCCACCAATATCGGCACCGTGCCACATTAGCTGACGAGCAATCAAGCTTTGGTGTCTGCGAAGAGCTAGCGCAACTGGCGACTTGAAATAATCGTTGAGCTCGTTGAGAGCAGCTCCTTGTCGCAGAAGAACATCAACTTGGCATGGCGATCCGGTCATTGCGGCGAAGTGGAGAAGAGTCTGTCCACCGGAGAACCGATGCGACAAGAACTGAGACTTCAATTCGGGATTGCTTTCACACTGCGAGAGGAAGAAATGTAGAACGGTGCACTTGCGGTGACGATCCTCGTGGCATGGCTTCTCGTTCAGAGCTGTCGAGGCGAGATGCATGAGAATCGAGCAAGCACGCTTCTCGATGGTGTTGTCCTCGAAGCGCTCATTGAAATATTTGGTTCCCCACTGTAACAACGATGACACAATGAAGCCGATGCGTTGTGGACGTGTTCTTTGCGCAAGTGGAATGTTGTCTAGCTCCTTGACTCTTCTACTCGACTTGGCCTCCTTGCGAGCAATGTATCGTTCAACCTCGCCAAAACGAAGGAGAATATCACGAAGGTCTTTGTGTAAAACAGTGCGAAGTGTCTGCTTCATCCACTCGTCTCCAATGGATTCGATGTAGGATTCCAAGAAGTTCGAGAAGGTGTCTTGGATGATTTTGTACTCCTCCGCTCTCGCACCACGATCCATGTCTGCTTGAGATTCGAACTCAGCTCGCCAATTGACAATCTTCGCTCCATCAGCAACGTATTCCGAATATTTATGCTTCATGATGTTCTTCGCGCCGCTCATCGATAAAGGAAGCACTGGTTCATCGTCTGACATGCCAGATCCTGCGATTCCAAAACCCATACGATGGAGAAGCTTCACTGATGCTGGCAGACTGATGTAGTCTCCCCTGAAACGAATGATAAGGATTATTTAAACTAGACTTACAGTCAGCGAAATATAACTTACAGCCCTGTGACGTAGCGCAAATATCGCACCTGTGAATGCCTGTGGAGATCCGTGAAGCGCATCTCGTGACCCAGCTCCTCTTCGCCACGAAGAAACGGAATGGCGACGTCGCGGTTGGTGCCGAGGAACATCTGAGCCGCAGCATTTGTTCCACGTACTATCATCTCACCGTCTCTTACGTCAGATCCGCCAGCAGACTCGTCGAAGTGGTGCACCTGGAGATTCTCGTTGCCACCGCACACGACCTGCAGCGGCGCTTTGCTCTTCTGCCCCGGATACTGAACATCACCGTTCTCCTTCCTCTCCATAGCCTTCCGCTCCTTTTTGGTCAACTGCTTCTGCTTGCCGTTGCCTTTGTTGGCAGGCTTGTGCTTGGCGCTGCTTGTCTGAAACTTCGAGATTTGTAATGTAATCAATCTAAAAAAAAAAACAACAAAAGATTTTACCTGTTGCTCTTCTTTAGATGCATACGTTGACGGACCGTCTTCTGAAGGTATCGGCACGAAGTGTGTGTTGTCTGTGACTGGAACGCTTTGCTCATCGGTGACAAACCGCACTGGCATCTCTCGCTGCGACATTATCCGACGCATCTCTTCAGTACGATCACGCATTCCCACAACGTAGTTTGTCGAGCTACAAGCTACGCTTTGGCTGGTGCCCTCCTGACTGTCGTTGGTCATTGTGCCTTTCTCGTTGTCTGAAACTGAGGAGACGATTATATATATATATATATATATGATGGTGATGATGGTGATGAAGGGAAATAACAGGAAAAAGTGGGCTGCCACAAAAATCGCATCTAATTATTATTTGTATTTGAAAGTCAATCGGCAAGAAGGAAAGTGAGCAAGCAAGGAGCACATTTCCTTTTCTGGGTTCCGCGAGCAGCGTGTTTTACGATGGCGCGCGAAAGCAGATGCCCTTTTTAATGAAGCAGAAGATGGATTGCTTCATCGCTTCTCGAGACAGGATAGATGAAAAATCGTACCGAATCCACCAACAGATCCGTCACTGTCGCCTGCTAGTGATCCGTTCTCAGAAGACGTTCCCGAGTTGTCCGAAGACGAGGAGGAAGAGGAGGAGCCGCCACTCGAGTCGACAATCGAGCTTTTCCGCTTTACAACGACCTCGACTTCTTGGCTCGTTCCTTCCTTCTTTTTCCCGTCCTTCGACTTCTTGTTGTCCTTTGGCATTGAACCCGACAAATGGTACGGCTGTTGCTTCTGACAGTCGTTCTGTAATAAAACCAGAGCGAATGGTGATGAGTTCTGACGATGAAAAGAGAATCTATTTAATGAGAAAACGAATGTAGGTGTCTGTGTGCTTGCTGGGCGACGACGATGACGATAGTGGCGAAACAGAGACGACCAGACGGACTCGCACACAAGCCACCGCTCACCACGCACAGAGACACACACCGATAGGGGGGTTTTGCAAAGGAGAGAGCATTAAAATTGGAGAGGCCGACAAGGGAAAAACGAGAGAGAAAGAGCGTCGACGGAGTGTTCAAAATCAACTGGGGACGACGAGAGACGACGATGGTAGAGGAGGAGGTCCCGCTAACCGGAGAATGGAAAGGAAGAGAGAGAGAGAGAGATGAAAATAACTCTCTGCAGCGGCAGATAGGGGAAAGAGACGACAAGAAATGAAGAGAGAAGGCGTGGTAGATTGGTGTGCTGAGATTAAAAGGGTGATTTGAACTTCTAGCTGCTCGTTGGAAGCATCGTAGCGGAACGGAAGCTTCCGGAAGCCGATGAGATTTGTATTATGATTGTGAAATCGAAAAATGTGGTGCCAAAGTTTAAAGGCGCATCGGCTCGAAATTCCATTAGGTCTCACCACGAAAACAGTAAGCTTGAACAAAAGGGGGTACGACGAATTCGAACGTTTTCAAATTCGAACAGACCTAAAATCGAACTGATTCAATTCAGAACAGTCCTTTTTTCGCACACGTACCAGAACAGAA